TAAAACTATGCTTCAGAAGTTTAAAAGACAAAACACAGCTTCGCTGTACCCATATCTGCTCTGTAGTTTTGTTGGGTTTTTTTTTCTTCTTTTTTCCTGTTGTCTCAATTATGTACTCCCTTTCACATATATCTATGTACATCTTCTTCCCTGCACCTCATTCTTATTTGCTCTTTATAATTATTTTCTGTTGGAGTATGTGCAGGAAAATGGAGGCCTGGTGAACAACCCATATTACCAGCTGTGAGAGAAGCCTCAGGCTTCCCATGGGAAGAACACTTGGTTTACAGTTGGCAATTGTAGACTTGGGCTAACTTCCCATGAGAAGGAATTAGTTTACAGTTAACCTGAACAGGCTTCCCATAAGAATAGAATTAGTTTACAATCAACAACTATTCTGTGTTGTGAGAACTGACGGTGGGAGCTGGTACCCAGGTGCAAAAACATCGAACCTGCATCTTGTCCAATGAACATTAGACATGGACTTGTGGACAGACTGAGCTATTCAATCCCCAGACTTTAACCCTGGACCCATGATGGTAAAAAAATGTATAAAATGTGTGCTGTGTGTCTTAATAAAGGATTCACTGCCTAATCACATTGATTGTCACGGTGGATCTGTGCTCTTGCCGTCAATAATTTTCCACTATTCTTTTAAAACCCCAGTTTACTAATTCTCCTTTGACCCTTCAATGCAGCCTATACTCCCTTCATGAACAGAAGTTTTTTGGTTATTTTGCTTATTCACTATCAGAGTCTGATTACAGAGGGGGAAATCTAAAAGCCATTAAAAATGTATCAGTTTTTGCTTTCAAACATTTTATCATCTTTATATGACCTAGGATCTTGAAATTCTCATGTATTTATCCATTGTAAAATTTTTGGTAATAGCCAAAGTGAGGGAGGAGTAAGACAGGTAGAAATTTAGGCAGAACTCAGAAATAGATCACACTTTTTTGTAAACCTGCAAAAAGCAAATGAGTTGTATATGGGTTTGTTTTGACATAAGGTAAGAAAAAGGCATGATTGTTCAGTGGACAAGAGAAGATGGCGTACTGAAAATGTTCCCCGGTATAACTTGGTTGCAAATTATCTCTACGTGCCCCCAATATGCATTTTAAACTCCCATCTTCTCAAATTTTGTTAACTGCTGTTAACTTTGGTTGAAGCACAGTGTTTCAGAGTAAGAACAGGCTTTTACCAAGAGTAAACCTTCCTTTGGCCTAGATGGCTTTTGCATTATTTCATGAACTTTTTTTTTTTTTTTTTTTTTTTGCCACACAATGTGTTAAACTCCTAGAGACTTCATTAAAATTCCATGTGTTTTGTATGATAATTTAAAACACAGCTACTATATGGAAAAGGTATTACCACAGAGTGCCTGGGACATATGCCAGAAAGGCTTAAGTAAGGAAAGAAATATGTACATTTGCTCTCATCTCAATAGACCAGTGGCAATATTTTCTAAATCACAAGGATCTTGAAGGGAATTCAGAGAATAGGATGTAATTTTACCTAGTAACTGGATATACTTAACACCACTCCCCCATCTCCTAGTACCTCTTTCTGCTCAAAATGACAAAAGCTGGCTTCCCTCTCTCTTATTTTGAAATGATTAGACCATAGTTATGCCATCAATAATCTCTTTCAAGTCTATATTTTGCCATTTTAAAACTTTGGTTTATGCACTTGCCCAAAGTTTTATCTGCCGAAACTCAAAGCAGTATGATGAAAGAAATCATACCAGATGAAGCTGCACTAACTCTTTAGTGTGACACTGGGCTTTGATACAGAGATTTCAAATACTCGGGTAATCTCAAAGTCTGATCTTTCATATATTTACAGGATTGTTTTATTCAAGTGAATCCATCACTTGAAAACTTATAGGTTCTCAGTGATAATTCCATTCTGCAACTACCTGAAAAGAGGTTGTAGTGAAAGGGGGAGTCTTAATCTTCTCCCAGGTAACAAAGGATAGGATGAGAGGAAACGGCCTCAAGGGAAGCTTAGATTAAACATTTTTTTTTCCCCACATAAAGGGTTTAAACTAATGAAACATATTGCCCAGGGAAATGGTGGAGTCACCATCCTTGGAAGTGTTCAAAACACCTGTAGATATAGCACTTGAGGACCTGGTTTAGTGGTGAACATCGTGGTGATGCTAGGCTGATGGCTGGACTTGATGCTCTTCAAGGTCTTTTCAAAGCTTAACGATTCTATGATTCTATATCCAGTGATTTTATGGATGACAGAAATTTGTGAATTGCCTAAGACTGACAAGTATGTGTTGTGTGGGTTGTCTAAAATGTTCACACACGTGAACTCATATACACACGCACGCATGTATGCATATATATTTATACATATATATGCACGCATAATGTAATATATTTAGCTTCAGACTACATTAAGTTATTCTACTTTATGCTCCTATATAGTAGTACTAGCAAAAATACCCACACAGATATCACTGAAATGAGCTTTTTTCAGGCTTCTGGCTGGAAATGTTGATCAGCAGTCCATGTTTCTTCATTCTGTGTACAAGTACATAGAAAAGTAAATACTCTCTGTTCTTGGACTCCTATCTGTCCAGTGGATAAGCAGTGCTTTATGTAACAAAATTGTTTGAGAAATAATCCATTTGTAGAGTCTTGTTCTATTATTTAATGAGTTCTGGAAATACATCCTTCGGCTAAAATCACCAAAGCACACCTTTTGTGGAAGTACTGCATTAAGTGAAAATAATTTCCTAAAGAAGAGGAAAGGCTTGATCCCCAGTAATTTGTGGAATACAGGGACTACTACAAATTAAATTGCTTCAAAATTGTATTACAATTGTCATTCCTTAGGAATAACTCAGTATTATTTTTTGTATGGGATTATATGACGAAGGATAATGGAAAGGGTGTTTTGATATTAAAAAAACCCACCAACCTTGAGAAGGTGAGACACATCCTAAAACCAGTACAGCTACTACTTATTTGCTAGAGTTTCATAGCACACGAATACCGTTTCCCCATGCAAATAGAGAACTGACTCTTCAGTAGATGTCCATTTTAGTCACAAGTGTCAGGCTGATAAAAGATAAACTACTGTTCAGTTTAATTCCAGCCAAGGTAATTGCAAATGTAAATATTTAGTTTGCGTGTGTATTTGTCGAAAAGAGGCAAAGTTTTACAATCACATCTGTTAGAATGATTGTGCTCCTGGGAACTAAAACAAAATTAAGCTAACAAGGACTAGAAACACAGAGACATGATCAAAGTGAAGATGAAACTGTCTCATTCATACACCTAAAGGCTTTCCTCACTGTGGTTTAGTGAGAAGAGCAAGTTAGGAACTGTCTCAACCCCCTTTTGTGTCTATACAGAAAAAATCTGTGTTTTGAATAAAGTATTACTGTAAATCTCAGTCCTGAAAGTCACAGCCTGAAGCCCAAGCTGTGCAGCAGAGCTGCAGGCACAGGCCTCTCCTGAGGTAGTGCAACTGCTCATTCCCCCGCGGCACGGCAGATGGTATTCTGCGGTGTCGTGGTTTGCAGTGACACCGCCCCGAACCCCGCAGTCCTGGTAAAATATCGCAAGTAATGGATCCGACAGTGATCTCCAAGATTTCAGACTAATTAAGCTGATTTGCAGTCTATTATTTAGGCGCTAGATGTCCCCATGTGCTGCAAGCACACGCTGGCTGTGCTTGCCGGTAAACAAAGAGGAAATCGCTGGACCAAAGCTACACGGTGCAGTTTTCATAGACATTTAACCGAGTTACCACTTTTTTATCACCTGTCTGGAATTTTCCCAAGGAAATAATTATGTTGGCAAACGCTAGCTCTATTTCCCGACGTATTTCACTGGAGCGTCTCGAATCAGATCAGGGTGCTTTTTAATATTTTTTTGTTTTCCGGTTTGTAATGAGTTTGGCCCAGCCTTGGTGCCCGGGAAACGGTGGGAGGTCCGAAGGTTATAAGACAAGTCCGTTGTCAGATCTACATCAAAGCTGTCAGCCTGGGAGGCTGAGGTGTCCTGGTGCTCCGGGTCCCCAGCAAAGGCAAGTCGTGGAGCTTCACAGTCCCTCTGAATTTCTAAACCAACTGATGCTCTTTGCTGTGTAACAGCTACAGGCACAGGCTCCTTGCAATTCAGTATATTTTGCGTTCAGTTTGATTTTACCCAAATCAGACACTAAAATAAAAAAAAAAATTAAAGAAAAAAAAAAAAAAAGCCAACCAAAAAAAAAGAAACAAAAAACAACCCACCCAACCAGAAAGCGTTGGAATCAGATTTTCCAGTCATCTCTTTCCCCAGATCACACTGCCCGGACTACGACTGCTGTAAGTAACTTTGTTCTCTCTCCCCGGTCAGGTCGGTCAGCGCGCGTGTACCGACACCTGCCCTGTTCCTCTGCCCTCTGCTACTGTCCCCTTCGATGCGCTCCATCCCTCCATTCCCCTCGCCCGCTGCCTCTAAGGAGGCAGCGCGCTGTGTCTCACCCCGATTCCTCCCACTTCTTCACCTGCTTTCGCATCCCGCGGACCTTTCACAGCGCCCCAGCACTATCTGCTAGCTTATACTGAGAACTTTTTTCTTTATTTTATTTTTAAAACTCGGACATGGGCATTTACCGTTGTGTCTGATATTTTAGTTGCAAATCAGCTTCTATCCACCGAGCCCGGAGGAGACCCGTAGGTCAGACCGTAGCCCCGGGTGCTGCAGGAGGCGGACGGGCGGACCGGGAGGACGCAGTCCCGCCAGGAACCCCTGCAGCCGGGCCGGAGCGGAGCAGCCGGCGCCGGGCGGCCCCGGCGGGTCGAGGGGCGGGCGGGCGGCGGGGGCGGCCCCGCTCCGCCCCCGGCGCGGGGGCGGTGGGAGCGGGGAGGCGGGGCAGCGGGGCGCAGCCGCCGCCGCTCGGGGCCGGGAGCTGGGACTCCCCGCCGGGATCGCGGCCGCTGCCAATTGCGTAAGGGCGGCAGCCGGGGCGGGGAGCGGTGGGACTGGGCGAGCAGCCCGCGGCCTCCCGCCGTGTCCCGGGCGGGGAGCGCCATGCCGCCGCCCTGAGCGCGCCAGCGCCGGGCCCAGGTGAGAGCGCACCCGGGCCGCCCGGGCCGGTGCCAGCAGCGGGACGGAACGGGACGGGCCTGCCGGAGAGGGTGCGTCGCCCGAGTGCGGGCCGGGCTGGGCTGCCGCGCCTGCCGGCGGGCTCCGCCGCACTGGCCTCTTTTGTTCCTGCGGCCGGCGGGAGGGGAGGGAAGGAAGGAGCGGAGAGCAGAGGGAGGGAAGGACGGAGCGGGGGCGGCTGCAGCAGCAGCCGGCGACGGGGCGGGGAGGGCCGGGCAGCGGCCGGCCGGGGGAGCCCCCGGGGCGCTCGGGCTGTGCCCGGCAGGTGTGGGCCCCGCGACCCCTCCGCGGGCGCTCGGCAGGTGCGGCGGGGCCGCGCCGGCCGGGCCCCGGCTTTGTTTACGCGCCCGGTGGGATGCTGCTGGAATCGCAGTGCGAAGCGGCTGGGCTCAAATCAGCATCGCGGCAGGGACCGCGGTGGGACTTGGTAGGTATCCCCGAATAATCAGGTTATGGTGGAGTGCTTTCCTGGTGACTGGTAACTAGAATCTGTTTTACTTGCCCAGAGGCACGGAAGAATCAGTGGGAGTTGTACATCATCCCAGCCCTTCCAAGAAAAGAGGGTGTGTGGTGATGAATGTGCCGTGGTTTTACTACATAACAGCTTAGGTGAGGGCTGTGAGCTGAAGATGCTGTCCTTGTTTGTGCTTTACATGTGAATTAGTGGCACGGATTCTTTAAAAGGGGAGAGGTTTTATATTCCTGAGTAGTTATAAAACCAAAATAAAGCACCTGGGCCTTGACCGAGACTAAATGAAGATAAAACAGTACTTTGTATTTTTGTGTGACATTAGTCAAGTTTTAATGAATCACAGAAAAGATGTGAAATGGCTTATGGGTAGCATTAGGGAGGAGGGGATGTTCATCTTTGTTCTTAGGAGTCTGTAGCTCTTCAGCGTGCTTTGTCTACATGGATCCTATGCACTGCCTGCACAGATGTAAAATATTCTGCCTGACCAAGTTTGTTATGCCTCCACCTCCTGCACTCTCCCTGCCAATACAGCATCCAACAGTCTGTATGTCAGGGAAAAAGTGTCCAGAGCAGTAACAGTTTTATGGAAAGCACTCATAAAGCCCCCATCGTCAAGGGGATTTGAGAAGAAAAAAAGGGAGTGTTGGGGGGGGGAGAGGACAAAGATGAGGGGTGTTGTGAGGTCCATGCTAAAATGAGTGTCTTCTAAAATTCAGCATATGATCTGAAGAGTAGCTGGGGAGTGTGCTGTTTTGAGATGTGGATTGGTGTTTTTCAGTGGCAGACTGTAGGGTTTTTTTAATTATGAATGTTATTGCTTTTATCCCCTCAGTATTTTATGGGGAAAATGGTGGTGAGGGTTGGCTGGAAACTTTTAGCCAGTTCATCAGACTTGTCAGTGGTTGGTGGAGACACACTGGTGACCCCTGTGTGGAAAAGCCGTTGTTTTCAAAAAACCCTGTGAAATCCACGAAAGGTTTGCAAGCTGTAACAGGTCCTGTGAGTGGAAGAGTTACCTTTTAGTGGCTCAGTTCACATTTCTTCCAAGTTGACATACCAGGGGATGGAGCAGGAGTACAAAAAGGTTATTTTTCCTCTAAGGCATGAATATAAAAATAGATAGAGCACAAGCTGAGGGACTACCTTGGTTATTTTACAGTTTGTTTTTCTTTTTTAAATTTGAATTGATACATGTTTGAGTAACTTGTACTTTAAAGGAGGTTAGGAGTTTTATTTCCTTGAGTGAAATAAAGGGTGTGGTGCGTAGGGACAGGTGCTTTTCAGTGTGATTTAAATACTTCAAAACAATATTCTTATCACCAAAGATGCAAATTAATACCTGTGTGCCTGGGACAATCTGGACTGGAAGTGTTCTTTAATTACAGATAACTTATTAATTTGCTTTTAATACAAAGCAAAGTCGTTAACTTCCTTTATTACATGTCTACAGTGTTTCAGAAAAATTCTATTAAAAAGTTTTAGTGTGCTTTTTTTTGTGTGTTTTGAGGTTAGCCAGTTCAGCTTCTTGCCATGGAAGTCTTGTTTGCAGAAGATGAGTGGTGTTCTCGAGGTCATTATTTTTTCTCCACGTGAGGAAAGAAATATGGGTGTGAGATATGTCAAGGACCTTACTTGGTGACTCGGTTATGTCTGTCTTACCTGTTGAGTAGGAGATAGCCCTTTTCTTCTTTACCTGTGAGATGGCTCTGCCCATTCTCTGGAGCTCCATCTCCTCTTTATTTTGCCTTGTGCAGGAGCTGGGGGCAACTGGGGAGGAGAAGGAGCTTGGTCTCCACTGTTTGATGGGGGCTGATGCTACAGCCTCCACAGCTGTAAGGCTACACCCCTGCTACCTCTGTCCCACAGCGTAAGGGACTTCTTGGCTGATGGGCCACGTCATGCATGTCTTCAAGGAAACTTGTCCCACAGTCCTTGCGATGACACTGTTCTTCACCTGTGTGCTTGCACCAACGATTTAAAGACCTCAGACAGATCTGGTAAATCTCACTTTCTGTATATTAAAAAGTTATATCATAGGAGTATAGTCTTAAGGATGTCAATAAAGTTCATGTTTAGTATTACTAAGACAGTTTTGTAGAATCATCTAAGGTGTGCATCAAAACATAATTAAAGTCTTTATTGTAAATTGCAATTTCTTGGTTCAAATCATGATTAGACTTGATTCATTCTCAGCTATTTTTATTAGAAGGGATTTCACTACCGATTTAATGGAGGTAACTTCAACAATTGTTTGTAGATATGTGTGTAGAAATCCACTGAAATACTCTCTTTGAATAGTAATACTGAGAAAGAAAAAGGAGAAAGCATAGAAAACTCTATGCTTTTATGAAGAGTGTGAGGGACAAAAATGATGTATTTGCCAATATTGAAAGGAAATACTGAAGGCATTAAAGAATGCGTACTTCAGAACTTGTAACAAATTTTATTCCTTTGGTGTGAAGTAGTTTAATGCAAGAGAACCTGCTAGCAGCTCTTATATCTTTTTGGTGCCTGGGATTAAGAAGAAGGGGATTGTGAAAAAACAGAGTGGTGCAGTCCTGCAAGATGACCATCTATACCTGGCAGGATGTTGCGGTACTTAGCGACTGGGTGCAAAGTTCTTGGAGTTTCCTAGAATGGAGTTTACCACATGTGGCTGAGCTGAGCAAGGATGTGATCCTTACAGGAGGAGAGGTGATTTTGGAAAAGTGAAGGCAGAAGACAGTTAAATGAGATCTTAGAGCATAGTAGAAGTGACCACATTGTATCAGACTTTGTGTCCATCCAGGCAATTGCCCCATGTCTGACAGTGCTGAGGAAAAGGCATCTGGTATAGTTACTGCATAATGATGCTACTGCTTTCAGCCTCGAACAGTTTACTGCTCAAGGACCTCCTAAACTTGAGGCAGTATTATTTATCCAACAGCCCTCTGACTGAGACTGACTTTTCTGCAACCTTTTTTGCTCTCTGAACCTATATAAAGACTTGGAAGTCCGTAGCGTACAGTACTGAGTCAGGCTCAGAAACTTCTCTGTCTCAGCTTCCCCCCCTTCCTCCCACCTCGGAAGAGACATGAACTCATTTGCATTCTTCCTGCTACTCTTGACTGTATGAACCTGTGTCATATATCCTCTCTCTTAGTCATCCACCACCAGGATGAAGAATCCTTTGGGAGTTCAAACAGCTAAGAAGTGCTGATGTCACAGCCGTGTTCTCATTGGATGTGATTTGGAGCTCTTAATTTTTTTTTTTTTTAAGGCAAACTCATTTACCTTGGCTCATACAAATGCAAGACAACCTCAAAGAATGTGGCTGTGCAGCTGCAACAGTTCAGCTTTTCAAGCAGCATTGTTTTGTCTGTGGTTGATGCACAATTAAAAGCAGTCCTTCAAGTAAGCAGAATAAGGGATGACATATCGTTTACTGAAGGTTGAGTTGAACAGAAAAGAAAATTACAAGAACTTAACAGCTTTGTCTAAGAAGAAAGAAATGTGCATGGTGATATGGAAGAGAGTGCATTATGCTAATCATTATTGTTTTAAATATAATGTAAACATGACGGCCCTCTGATTATAAAGTGGTTCTATCAGTATACTCAGGAGTATTTTTGCTTGTATCTGTTGACCAAAGCTAAACATGGGATATGATTCTTTTCCTCACTGCCTGTTATCTTCTGTACTGTCATATATGCTTATAATTTTAATTCTTATAATCTACTTATGAGAACTTTTCAAATTTGAAAATAAGAAAATAGATATCTAATCTTACTTTCCTCCTCTTTGGAGGACGATTGTAGGCCTGTGATTCAAGGTAGTTCCAGAACTGGACTTCACCTCTCTGAAGTGTATTACCATTACACAGAGAACTTCCTGCAGTGAAGTCCTAAGCTGTGGCTGTTTGGATGGGATTTGTGCTTTTCTAGAGACTGCAGATAGCTGTAGATTCCACTTCTCATTGTTAATATGAGAAGTAGTTCAAGTTTTTTGCTGTTTTGTTTTGTTTTTTCCTACCATTATATTCAGTTTCTCTAAGGTGAATGCAGCAAATCTATTGCTTTTGCATGAAGCTGTTGACTTAAATAGAGCTATTTATTTACTTAAAAGTAGACTTGTACTCAGATGCATCACTGAGCTGAGAAGAGCAAAGTGTTTTCTGAACTAACTCTCCAATGTCCCTGAGAGGCTAGTGACTACTTTTTTTTCTCATATTACAGCCTCGGAGCTGAAATAAGCTGTGATTCATACAGCAAGCTAATAGCAGATGGGTGACAAGTTTCTACTCTTGTTCTTGTAGACAAATTATTAAGTCTTTCATTCCTGAAAATATGAAACAGTAAAAATTGTTCCATTCATATTGCTTATTTTAACCCATGTGCCATATTTCCTAGTGTGCCCTCTTGCATCTGCTGTATTTAAGTCATCAGTCGATTCACTTGCATGCAAAGAAACAAGTGATTTCTACAGTTTCCTCCAGCAGAACATGCTACTGTTTTAACATGAAAACCAGAATAGAGCTCTCTGATTTATAAGTAATTTATAGAGGTTAACTGTATAAAAAAGAAATATAGGGAGAAAAGTGGAATTCACTCTAAGTCTCAGGTACTGTTTTAGATACACTGCCTACAGTTTGCTGTGGCTTCTCGGTTATGTTTCTTTGTTTTAGTGTGCAAGATATGAAAATACTACAGTCAGCAGACTAAAAATAGCAGTGTCTTCTGGTCAGTTAAGAATTCTTGAAAGCTTACAGGATAATGTTTGGAAAAAAAACATGTCCCTGCAGTTTCTGCAGTAAGACACATCTCTGCAGAAGTATAAAAATCCCTAAGTTATGAACATGAATTTTCTGCAAAATTAGATATTTCATCTGCTGCATCAAATACCCTGACAGTTGTATAAGTGAAACCAAGCAAGCTCTACAGAGTTTATTCACACAAACTATGGGTGAAGGACAAAAGCCCAGTTGTCACTGGAGTGGGGAAACCATTTTTCTTGTACAAATACCCATTTTGCCCCTGATCTTTCAGTCTTATCCTTCATGGTGATCTACCAAACACCTTCACAAGAGGATAGGAACTAAATTCAGGGCTGTCCTGTATGCTGTAAGCCATGAATCTGATAGTGGTTTTGCTTGAAATGC